AGGATTACGACAAGTTCAAGATGATCCTGTTCATGATCCGAAAGCTCTATGCATTGGTTGCCGGAGATTGCGCGCCGGACAATCCGGATGCGGTCTCCAACCAAGAAATCCTTCTTGGTGGTTTCCTCTACGGAATGCTTCTCAAGGAAAGGCTCGAGGAATGGATGAGGTCTTTCAGCCCCATTCTGAGGGACTGGTCCAACCGCAACAGCGGAGCCAAGTTCACCGATTCCGCATTCGAGAGGGACTTTCTTAGCAAGGTTGTGAAGCGGTCCAACGAGAACATCGGAGGAGCTCTGGAATATTTCCTTTCCACCGGTAACCTGGTCAGTCCCACTGGTCTCGATTTACAACAGGCATCCGGTTATACTGTCATGGCCGAAAAGATCAACTTCTACCGGTTCATCAGTCACTTCCGCATGATTCACAGAGGTAGCTTCTTCGCACAGCTCAAGACCACCACGGTCCGTAAGCTGTTGCCTGAGAGTTGGGGTTTCTTCTGCCCTGTACATACGCCTGATGGAGCTCCTTGTGGTCTGCTTAACCATCTTGCGCACAAGTGCTTGATCGCCACTAGTGACGTTGATGTATCCAAGATCCCCAAGGTATTGGTGCAGCTGGGTGTTCGTTCTGAGTCGTCTGTTTCTGTGGAGGAGAGCGTGACTGTCCAGCTGGATGGTCGTGTTGTTGGATACTGCTCCCCCAAGCAGGCTGGCGCGATTGCCAACACGCTAAGACGCTGGAAGGTGGCAGGAGATGACCGTATCCCTCTCGAGCTGGAGATCGGCTACGTCCCTAACTCCAATGGTGGTCAGTATCCTGGTATTTACATGTTCTCGCAGGCCGCCAGAATGTTCAGACCCGTCAAGTACCTGCCCTTGGGCAAGCTCGACTACGTCGGCCCATTCGAGCAGCCCTTCATGGAGATTGCCTGCATGCCCAACGATCTCATCTCGGGTGTTTCAACCCACATTGAGTTCACTCCTACGAACATGTTCTCCATTGTCGCCAACATGACGCCATTCTCCGATCAAAACCAATCTCCTCGAAACATGTACCAGTGTCAGATGAGCAAACAGACAATGGGTACGCCTGGTACTGCCATCGATTACCGCACCGACAACAAGCTGTACCGGTTGCAGACTGGTCAGACCCCGATCGTGCGGTCGCCGCTCTACAACGCCTACGGTCTGGACAACTTCCCCAACGGTACGAACGCTATTGTTGCTATTATCTCCTACACCGGTTACGACATGGACGACGCTATGATCATCAACAAATCCTCTCACGAACGTGGTTTCGGTCACGGTACGATCTACAAGACCAAGGTCCATGGCCTTGACGACAACGACTCCCGCCGCGGCAAGTCCCGCCGTGAGATCACCAAACTCTTCGGTTTTGCCCCTGGGGACCAGATCAAGGCCGAGTGGCGTGCCACCCTGGATGAAGACGGCTTGCCTCACATCGGCGCCCGAGTCACGGAAGGCAGCTATGTTGCGGCGTGGCACAACGTGCGGTACGACGCCGCCAGCGACTCGTACGTGAACGTGGATGGCATCACCCACTTCGTGAAGTACAAGGACGCGGAAGAAGGATACATCGACAGCCTGCGCATCTTGGGAGCCGAATCCGGTGTCGAGCCCTGCCAGTCGATCAGCGTCAAGTACCGCATCCCCCGTAAGCCGATCATCGGTGACAAGTTCTCCTCTCGTCACGGACAGAAGGGTGTTTGCTCGCAGCTCTGGCCCGCGGTGGACATGCCTTTCTCCGAGAGTGGCATCCAGCCCGACCTGATCATCAACCCTCACGCTTTCCCTTCCCGTAAGCCCCCGAATTGACAACATATCCTCAAGATGTATCTAACCGCTCTTCCAAACAGGTATGACAATCGCCCAAATGGTCGAATCCATGGCCGGTAAGGCCGGAGCCCTCCACGGCCACCCGCAGGACTGCACGCCGTTCCAGTTCTCCGAGGAGAACACGGCGGTGGACTACTTCGGGCAGCAGCTGCGCAAGGCCGGGTACAACTACTTCGGCAACGAGCCGCTGTACAGCGGCATCACGGGCAAGGAGTTCGCGGCGGACATCTTCATCGGCGTGGTGCACTACCAGCGTCTGCGTCACATGGTCAACGACAAGTTCCAGGTCCGCACCACGGGCCCCGTCAACAACCTGACCGGGCAGCCCGTCAAGGGCCGCGCCAAGGGCGGTGGTATCCGTGTCGGCGAGATGGAGCGCGACTCGCTGATCGCCCACGGCGCCGCCTTCCTCCTGCAGGACCGCCTCATGAACTGCTCCGACTCCACCCGCTCCTGGATCTGCCGCGACTGCGGCTCCTTCCTCTCCACCCAGGTCGTCGCCTCCGCCGCCGGCTCCAGCAAGGCCCGCATCGCCGCCGCCAAGGCCGCCTCCTCCCAGTCCGCCAGCAGCGCAACCAAAGACCACCACGGCCCCAGCGGCCTGTCCGGCCTCGTCCGCTGCCGTCGCTGCGCCCGTGAGGCCGTCTTCGACGACTCCCGCGCCGTCGTCTGGGAGGACGGCGACGGCCGTCGCTACGTCGGCGGCGATAACGTCACCGTCGTCGCCGTGCCGGGCGTGCTGCGGTACCTGGACGTCGAACTCGCTGCCATGGGTATCCGGATGAAGTTCCGGGTGGATAACTAGCCCCCCCCCTAGGACAGACTGTGTCTTTTTAAACCCCTAAAAAAAGCTTTCATTGATTGTCATTTTCCTTTTAGTATCCTTTGTCGCTTTTGTCATAGATGGGCGTATTTCAGCAACTTGTTTTTTTTTTTTTTTTCTCTTAATTTGTGCTTGGTCTTGGAGACGACGTTTGTATGCCACTTCACCACACACACATATGGTATGGATTTGTGATGTAGTTTCTCGTTGCTGTGAATAAGATTTTTCTTTTCCTTTCTTTTTACCTGCTATGGTTGGGTTTGACGTACGGGTTAGTCGGGGTGTAGTGTAGTGCCTGATCTCTGCTATTTGTCTGCATGAATGACTGACTGTAGATAGCTCGCAGCCAGGCTAGAATGTCCCTCTGGAAAGGTACACACATGCTGCTACTCTAAGCCAGTGAAGTACCTACAGTGTTACAGGAACCCCAGAACCCAGAAAACGCAAATGGTCAGAAGTATCAAAGTGTGATCATTTCATAAGGAGTTATCCACACACACCCCCCCATACAAAGACCGGAAGAAAACGAACAACTACCACTACCACCGAAGAGGGTAGGTAACCTGCCTAGAGAGCCTAAATCTATCTAGCATCATTCCCCACCCACCCCAACCCCTGGTCCTAAAACCGGGTCTACAACTCCGACGTCACGTTCGAGAACTCCCCCTTCTCCAGCTTCGTCTTCCAGAATATGGGGTTCATATCGTTGAAGCCGTGGTGGACCCAGCCCTCCTCCTTGACGTGGTACAGGTTGATGAAGCCACCGGAGTAGGCGTCGCGGTGCATGGCGGCCAGGATACTTCGGCGGCCAAGCTCGAGGGCCTCCTCCTCGGTCAGGTCATACCGGTAGTTGGCGTCCAGCACGCCGTAGGCGAAGGTCTGGCCGGAGCCGACGCAGAAGAGGTTGCCGGCCAGCCGGGTGCCGTCGGAGTCGATGTAGTAGAGGGCGGGGCCTTCTTGCGGGGTCATCTGTATTTTTGGTTTGGAGTGTTAAGAAGCATCATCCATAAGATTCGGAATGGCGGGGGAAATGAAGACGGAGGGTAACGTACGCCTGCTAACATCGTACCCATGCTCAGACCCATGCCCTTGTACGCGTATGTGAGGTTGGCGAGGATTTTCGAGGCCGCGGCGACGGTGATACGGCGCTTGTGTCGGATCTCTATAGTCACCCCAAAAGTTTAGCGGCTGTGCACGGTCATCGGAAAACAGGGAAGGGGGGAAAGTCTACCGTGAAGTGTGCATTGCTGGCTCAGATATCTCAACCAATATTGACAATCCTACCGAGCCGGGGAAGGCAAGCGCATGCCGTCAGCTTTTCTTTTGTTTCTGCAAAAGAAGTCTCGCACGCAAACCAGGTAACACATACCGCAGCACCACCAGCCATGGTCCCCAAAAGACCCGGAGTCGGCTCGTTCGTCGGCTTGTCTTCGCCGCGGCTCAACCGCGAAACAGGGATGACCTTCTTCACCGTCTGACTGGCGATCCAGTTTCCAGCGGTGGCTCGGGAATCGGTCGCGACGATCTTTTCCCCAGAGTCAAGCGCGTCAGTGGTTATACTCTCAAAAGCACGGGATTGGGGAAAACGGTGGAGGATGACGGCATACAATTCCGCCCTGGAAACGGAAAGCCAGCGTCGTCGTTCCGTGGGCAAGTTTGATGGGGCAGCTGGGGTTTGAGTGGTCATCGGTCATAGCACGGAGGAAGGCTCTGGACTGGATTCTGGGGTTAGCTGGTCGATCATGGACTCCGTGAGGGGAGGGATAATTCATAGTGTCTACTCGGGCGGCGGCGGCGGCGGCGGCGGCGGCGTCGACTCCGAACCCAGTTCGTATCGATGTCCACCAAGAGAGGGATGCCCGAATAGCACGCAGAATCGGATAGTACAATGCTCACATTATCGACGGGAGGAAGGCTGAATTTCAAGGACAGAGGTGGAAGGCTCTCGGTGAGCTCACGCTGTTCTTGCTCGGAGTAGAACTCATTCTGGTGCGGCGCCCGCGTGTATTGGGCGACCAATTTATCCATGATGTGCGAGGATCGATTGTTGGGTTCGAGACAAGTGGTAAGAGAAGTGGTGAGGAAGAAAGAACACGGCAAATAGCGGAAGGATGATGGAGAGGTATGAGATGAAGATGGCAGATGCAGCTCGGGAGCTTCCTGAATGATGATTGATGATGCTGGGAGCTCCAATCCCTCCGTCCGCGTCACGCTGGCCGCCTGGATCACGTGCCGTCTACTGCCGTCTAAGGCCGTCTAAGTTACTCCGTCGTGCTGTGCTATACTTCTTACTTGTCTTTTCACAAAAGCATCATCAATAATAATAATAATCAATAATCACATTGCTACTTATACTCGGCCAACCAACGAAACAAACTCAATCTATGTTTACATTTTTCATGGTAACAGGAGTGGCGCATAGAACATGCAAGAGACCCAAAATCCAGATCGAACATGAACAGGCAAGAATCAAATCGATCAAATCGGAACGGCAACTGGATGCGCAGGGATAGGGCTTGATACATATGGAACCTCAGAGCCGCGAGAGATATGCGCCGACTGCAGGTCCTCTGATGTCCGCGGCAGCTCTTCGCTGGTCTTGCCAACAGGTTTCGAAATAGCCCTGTTGGCAGTCTGTCCCTGAACTCCCTCGCTAGTGTACTTCTCATTATCGGGAACATTGCTGGATTGCGCCTCGGTTCCACTGATAACGGCTGGGTCTTGAGCTGTACCGTCGGTATAGCGTTCTTCAGCAGCATTGGTGGTTGCGGGCTCCGGGGCGGAGGTGTCAGCATACAGCTCAGAGCCGGCACCGTCGACGTAGCGGTCATGATCCGTTCCATTAGCATACGACTCCTGATGGGCTTCATCATATGCCTCGGTGCCGTGACCATTCACATACGGCTCGGCGGGAGTATCACGAGCATATCCATTCGCCCCAGTTCCTTGGACATAGGGCTCGGCGGGGGTATCACGGGCATATCCGTTCGCTCCAGCTCCTTGTGCATACGACCCCTCTGCGGAACCGTTCACGTCTCGCACGGAGTCTGAGGCAGTTGTCTCGACTGCATAAGCCCCTTGCGAGTCACGAACGCCACGACCGGACCTTGGCAAAAGGGTGCTGTCCAGAGCGTCCCCCGCTGAAGTATGAATGGGCTCTGCGCTGCTCTCCCACGCGCGAAGCTCGTTCTCGGCATCCTCAATGACCTGCCTGGTGGCCGAAATCTGGTCATACTCCCGAGGGGAGTCTCCCGGAACGACCGGAGTGTCATCCAGATGGTTGAGCAAACGGCGTGCGTGACGGGCCAGCAGGATCTGCTTTTCCCCCCGCTCGATAACAGCAGCCAGGTGGATATCATAGGCCTCCTTGAACTTCGATCGAGTCTGGACATCTCACAGTCAACATCTCTCTAATCACCTCTACCCCTCCTTTGAAAATGCGTTTCGGAAGTCATACCACATTGGTCAACTGCGCCTCGGCCACCAAACTCTGCGCCTCGGCCCTGACGAGTTCTTGCTCCAGGATATCAATCCGGTTGCTCTGCGGCTCCTTCCACTTGAGCTTCTGAATCTCATCGGCGATCTTCGCGCGCTGGTCGCGCGACGGCTGCACCGAGTTCTCGGTGTCCCGGATATGCTTCAGGACCACGCGGGACTCCTCGAGGTACTGGGCGAAGTTGTCCTCCTGCTCGCCCATCTCCGCCATCAGGACGGCGAGCTTGTCCGTGATGTCCGAGACGGCATCGTCCTCGGTCCACTCGCCCCAATCGGACAGCTGGTTGGCGATGGAGACGCGCTCCCGGCCCGCCTTCTCGTGGGCGCCGATGGCCGCGTTCTCGTTCTTGATGAGCTGGTTGAGTCGCCGGCTAGTCTCGGGCTGCTGGTGGCCGCGCAGCGTCGAGAAGCTGAACCGGGTCCGGTTGGGCGCGGAATTCCTCCGGCCCCGAATGGACATGTTGCGGTGCCTGCGGGGTGCGGTCAGCCGCGAGATCTACATGCATGTTGCCTGTCGGCCTGAGAGGCTCGAAGAGGTTGGCTTGCATACATGATTGCCATGATACTTTATTGCGTGCGTGACGTTGCTTGTTTTTTCTGAGATCATACAACAATAGAAGAGAGTGTACTGAAGAGCGTGGGTGCAATTGCGTCGGCTGCTCTGGAAGCAGGAAACAGGGACGATATGACGTTCGAGATAAGATCGCTCCTTCCCTGGGACGTACAGATTACTTGTTTGAAGAGGTAGTACTCAATGTGAGTAAGGCAGTCAGTTGCAGATTGTTCGAGATAGAGTACTGTAGTATTGTGTCGAACTCTGAAACACAAATCCAGAAAGATAATGTCAAAGATCGATCACCGGTGGAGCTACTACTAAGTAAGAGACGAACCTCGACGGGGCAGTAGTTCATGCCGTGGCGCATCAGCCAGCAGCAGAATGATTGTCTCGATGGCGTAGGCTCATGCCGTGACGTCATGCGGGCATGGACGGATGCTGTTGAAGTCATTGCCCGCTTGCATGATCTCCAATCCCATGGGTGCGATGGAGTTTAATCGTCCTTCGATGATCGGACGGGCATTACAAGATCTGAGATCAGGGGAGTTGAGTGGATCATGTGCTTGTACTCGTACATAGTGCATAGTACTCAGAACTGAACCTCAAACATGACAAACATACACCAACAGACAACCAACAAGGACCCCTTTCAATCACAATACACAAAACAACATACCCAAAGACCAAGCCAAATCCAACCAACCGACAATAAACACACACACACACACACACACACACACACACACACACACACACACACACAATCTGCCTAGAATCTCAACAATCACAAACGCAGCCAAACCCCATCCCTACACTCCGATACCTATCCCGTCCATTCTCAAACCCCCGGATCTAACAACGAGCAGGAATATACTCCACCTCCACCTCCACACAACCCACTTCAGATTCCCTCTCCCTCTCCACCTCC